CTGAGTAAATTTCTATTTGAGCGCAGGCCCATGCATGCGTTCATCCATCCATCCCTCCATCCATCCATCTTTAATATACACTGGATTTCTAATAAGAACACTAAGATGTGAAGACAGACATTCCCTTCAAAGAGCTTAATGGAAGCAATACAATTAGATTTTTGTAATTTTTAAGCTAATACTTATTAAACATTTACTATGCTTAAAAAGCAGGACAAACATCCTATTCTATTTTCACAACTATCTCATAGGAATGTTATCACCATTTATCTTTCAAAAAACTGAGTTTATATAATGTATACATACACACACACACACACAGCAAGGCCAGCAAGGAGGAGCTCCCACAGACCCATCGTGCCCATGCATTGCTTTTCCACATTCAAAAAGGAGCTCTGCCCATTGCCTACCCTACAATGACTTCCCCAGCTAAGGCTCCCAGGATCTCATCTCACCCATAGGAGTTTCAAAAGCTGACAGACAGAATGGCACGCTGCCTGTTAACAGGACCATAACCCAGGCAGCCCAGACCAGCCTAGGTGCTAGATGAATCCTATAAGCTGTCTTTCAAGTTAGCCTTGAGCTCAGGAAAGGTGCAGAGCCCTGGGGGGGGGGGGTCCTTACAAGTAGAAGCACAGGGGAAGAGTCCCAGGGTAAGTGGCCACACATTTGGAAACAAAACTCACCGCAGTGCCATTGTTGTCCCGGAAGACTTCCTGGTTGAAGTAGTCAAAGAGCTTCTTTTCTAACTGGAGCACAACCTGCCAAGTCAGAGTGGCCTCAGTGCCTAGTGGGTAGGCACATGTATATACACAATCTTATCAAACCCTCAGACCCCTAGGTCTCCAGCCTCTGGGGTGACTACAGGGCCCTCATTCCCCCGGGCTGGGTCTGGCCAGTTGTCACTGGCCCACACTCATAGGTCACTTACCTTACGATCATTGTCTGACTCTCGAAATATCAACTTCACCACTTCGTTGGTGTCAGCGGCCCGGACTGTCTGCATGGTGGCCTTTGTGCAGAGAGTCTGTGGAAAGGCATGGAGGAAGCTCAGTCCCAGGAGAAAGCTGGCTTACCTGGAGCACTAGGCAGTTTCCCCCAAAGCTACAATCTGACCAGTGAGTGAATTCCTCGCATCTCCAACTGGAGGGGGAAGGTAGCTTGGTGCTGCTTCCCCCACATGTTTCACACCTCATGGTGAAGAGTTCTACCCCATCAGTCATCCCTGGGCTACTCCCTCATGAATCCACAGAACCCTGGCTGGGTGCAGCTGCCACCACAACACAGACCTTAGTGCGTTTTTGTGCTTCCACATGAAAACAAAGTCTTGCCAGCAGGACCCACAGCCAGGGCAAGTTAACTCCTCCCTGCTCCTGCTCTGCTTCTCTGAGCTTTCCCAACTTGGGAGCCAGAGAGGACTTTTGAAAGGGAAGCCTACAACTAGGTTATGGTTTGTATGCAAATTATAATCCAATAACTTTGTTTTTAGAACAGAATATATAATTTTTACTTAAAGAGAAAGACTGTAACAAAAGTAACTGACTTTATAAAGTCTCTCCACTGTAGAAGCCAGCTCCACTGCTAGGAGAGTCTGGATCCAGAAGAGCTGTGGGGCTTAGGACTGCAGTTGATAGGCACCCCCTGGGTATGAGCCTCATAAACTCCTTGGAAGCCGGGCCCGGCCCACACGCTGTACTGTGGGGACAGAGCTACCTTTATAGACTGGGGACAAGGGACACCCTGGTGTGTACAGCATACTCCAGGATAGGCCACTGATATTCACTACAAGATCAGCTAGCTGGGCCACACCTCCAGAGTGGCTTTTGGACCCCTGTGTCACAAACCAGTCTGGCCCAATTAGAACACTGAGAGGATTAGGACACACACCCAAACAACCCAGCCAAGCCTGGCCACCCTGCCTGCCCCAGGTCCCATGGAGGTCCTGGCCCCATCCAAATGCTAATGCGCTTAAGTGGCTTAAGCTGCTCTGTGAAAGGGGATGGCTCTGGGCTGGCAGACGGCCATTGTGGCTCCTTCAAGAAACAGTTCAGGAAATTCATGGCTCTGTCTCCTGAAGGCATCTGCTGGAAATATTTTTAAAAACTGCTTTATCTCATCACTTCAGGCAACTCCCAAAGGATAAACACAAGATGGTCTCCAGAGCCAAGGCCAGCAGTTCCTGCCTGCCCCCTTTTCCCTATACTCTCCCTTGGAGGTGCCTCATTCACAGGTTTTAAAAAAGTGATCAGGGTCTGAGAATGGGCAAAGCCCGCCTTTCCCTTTCCTTTCAACTCTGGGAAGTTGTGACCACTCATGCAGAAAACCTCCAGGCCAGCCCTTCCGGCTCAACTACTACAGAAGGGATTCTATTCTTTTGAAAGAAGAAAACAAAACAAAAAATACTCCATATATTTTTAACATGCCATCTAAGATTTATTTCATTAGTAGCTACATGCAAGTGCATTAGAAGGGTTGCCAAGCACAATCTCACTGGGCCTCGAAGGGCTGTTTTTTTCTCCCAGAATTTTCTTCCTTGGTGTACCAAGGGAGTCCACCTGTCGTGTGGACAATGAAATTCCTGATTTCTTCTTGTTTGGACAGCAACCAAAACATGTCGCATAGACCCAGCACCCCAGGCACTGGTGATAGCAGGAGGTCATTTTTTTGTGCAGTGGAATCACATAATTTTTACAGCCCACTTAATTTGCACAAAGCCACCCAGTGGTCAGATGCCCTGATGCACACCTGTGCAGTTGGCCTGCTGTGAGCTACTGGAGCCACAAACTCCCTCCCTAGGACCAGTGCCCAGGCTTCGACGACAGCCCTGACTCCACTTGGAGCTGCAGCTTGCCAGCACTTTCTGAGAGGAGGCATCCTGGGTCTTGGCCCACCTAGAGTAGTTGAGGAGCTCTATGAGTGCAGGGCCCAGCTCTCTGAAGGGCAGGTGAAGCCATCTACACCAGATCAAAAGCTAACAGGCAAGGTGCTACTGCCATTCTTTCTTTACCTGAAAACCAGTATTCACAATTCTTCTGGAGCCACCCAGAGTGTCCCAAGAGAAGAGCACAGATACCACAAACTCCTCACTTTGGACTCTGGATCTAGCCACTGGCTCTGGCACACCCTGTCCCAAAATCTGTGGGAGAAGTGGGCAGCCTGGTGGAAGGCTCTCTGACACTCACAGCCTGAACCTTTCAAGGCCATCAGATACAGCATTGTCTGCCCCTGGACAGTGCTCTGGAAGGGGCTGACAGCACCATTGTATGGGCTGGCCTGTCACTCACCAGTGGCTGTACAAAAGCAGTGAGGGCAAGGTTTAATCCTGACTCCAGGCAGCAGATAAAAACCAGCAGCCAGTTGTCCTAAGACTGTTTAAGGCACTAGCACCTCTTGGTCTCACCAAGGCCAAATGCTGCCCGGCTTCCTCACCTCCTCAAGAGCTGCTTCTTCTTGCTTTCCCTCCAGGTGGGAGCAAAAGAGGCAACACAAATTACTTTTCTCCACCTTAGACACATTATTGGGAGGTGCTGGGGGCAACATTCCAGCTCATTTTCAGGAACCATCCCCCCCAAATTATTTTCAAATGGAGACTTCCTGGAAAACACCATGGTGTAACTCCCACATATACCTAGCACCCAGAACATCCCTGTCAACACACGCTTCTTAAATCCACAGACAAGCACAGTCAAGTGTATGGGGGGAGGAGTTGAAAGTTTTAATTGTGGCCCCCTAGCTAATGAACTTGCTTTGTGCAGTGAGCAAATTATCCACTGAGGCGTCCACAGGTCTTAATGGCACTAGGGACAGTCTGATTCTCAGATACATTTACTGCAGAAGTGAATCCTCAGGGGGCTGGATCAAATGTTCTCATCAAACAGAAGGTAAAACTACTTCAAAATGAAAATAAAACAAGCGGTTCCTTGAGACTGTGGAGTCCCTGACACCACAGAGCGCACTGTACAGTTTCCCTGTCGTGTACCTTTTCCAGATGCATCAGGTCTCACCAGCACCTTAGGTCCTAATACTTCAGCAGAAAAAGGATAGTGCAATGGCACCTCTACCTCTTTAGGGGCCACCAGTCTAGCCCACTCCAGGAAACACTGAGTGGGACCTACAGATGCGAGCCTCCACTGCTGGAGATCTTTTCATAAACAAAGCCTTCTTTAGTGTTCAGGACAGGACTTGGAACCTCCTGCTTTATTACCCATTTAGCCATGGTCTATGCCACAAAGCAAAGATGCATTTAAACAGGCTCTGACAGGTCAGGTAGTTCCCAAAGTCCTGGGTGGAGGGAAAGGGGGCTCCCATTTATTGGTTACCTCAGACATGTGTGTACCCTACAGTCCTCATCCAAGGTTCCTTGAGGTGGCACCAGGGCTCTAGAGGTTGTCTCACAGGCAGATGTGTCAGGCTGAGTGGTGACTGTGATGTGAATTAAACCAGCAACTCTCCCCATTTGAAGTCACCTTCTCATATGGAGGAAGATGGGGCTCAACAGTACTCAGCTCTTAAACATACTTCCTGCCTGGCACTTCACTGACTTTGAGTGATGCCTGTGGGATGATGGAAGAAGGAAGGAAAAGGGAGGGTAGAGGAGAGAGAGGTATAGAACTCAGTCTGTATCTCTAAGGGGACTCCTCAGCACCAGGTACTTACCTCTCATTGGAGACCTGTCCCTGATCAAGAGGGTAGCAGCTGGTGGGTGGGCTTGAAGATACATTTTACCAATTTTTCATGCCCATCCCTCTAAATGTGACCCTGCTCCTGAGCTTTTATCCTTCTGACAACTTCACGCAGGAAAACATGCAGACCCTCTGATAGCATGAAATCAGAAACAAAGACCTAGGGACAAAGAGGGGTGAGGAGTGGCTGCAGTCGGCTGGCTGATTTTCAGCCACAGGCAGATGTGCATAGGAACATCTGAAAGGAGATGCTTGTAAAAGAAATGGGCCTTAAAACAAAGCCTTCAATAGTTCAAAGAAAGGTGCTGAAGGAAGCAACATGCCTGCTCATGATAAATCTCAGCAGATACCAAACTGGCATCATGAATTTCAATAATACACGTTCTTATCCTTTAACTCTCAGGTTCATCTTGGACTCCAGAAACAGAATAAAAACATGTGAGTTGTGTGTTCAACATTACTTCCTACTTGTGCATTTGCAGGCACTTTCTGCTTCACAGGACTGTAATTTACTGGAATCTCAGTCAGGATCTCCAAGATTTCAATAAGAACAACTAAACTGACAGCAAAATATGCATTAGAAGTTGTTCTGAAGCAAGAGGCCCCAGATTCTGGACTAAATTAAGCTACACTGGGTGTCAAGAGACAGCTTTTCCAACTAATGAAAGTGAAGCTGGGAACTACCCTTGGTCCCAGGAGGCCAGGGGTAGATGGGGTACCTCTGTACTCAGGATGAATAAGGAGCTGGTTTCCAAGGAGAAGCTTACACTATTACAGCTCTCCTTCATATGGCACAGGCCCAGGGAAGGCTGGAGAAACTAGAGGCATAGAGGTGCCTATGCACACCTTTTAGGACAGAGCTCACCTGGCTCTGTCTACTCCTACAGGCCTCCCTCTGCAGCCATGTTCAGTCACAGATGGGACAGCTATGTCCTGCCCCATCTGAACTCTAGTAAATCAGGCCCGCAGTACCCAACCTAGGAGCAGGGACTTCTGTGAAAACTGTAAGCCCGAAGGGCCATGATGAGATCCCAGATTTCACTTGCTTTACCCAAGGCATGTGATTTCTCTCTGTACAGCCTGTGTACAGAGGATGCCATTCGTGGGAGCTACTGCCAGCAGAATACATCAGCATGCAACACTAGTCTCTGCCTGCATTTTGGACATTTCTGGGTGTGGTAGGTGTTTGCAGTCCCCTCCTGGGAGAGAAAATTGCTTTTCTGGCTTAGATGGTAAAGAGGCCCATGTGATGTGAATCTGCACTGAATCTACAGCAGAAACCAGACCAATAACAACCATATGGCAGATTCTGCAAGAGCTGGTCCTACCTGAGTTGCAGGTGACC